CAAGTCCGCGGGGGGGCTGCGCCCCGCTGGCGCACCCCCGCCGGCCACCCCTCAAGCCAAGGAGCCGGCATTACGGCTGCCGCAGTTGGAGGTGGCTGTGCCAGCATTGCCGCTGCCGGCAGTGATGCCAGAGCCTGGCACAACCATAAATCAAGCCCAAATCAAGCTGGGGGAGGGAGACACCCCTGGCAGCAGCCGTAAGGGTGGGGGGAGCCCGGTGCCAAAAACCAAGCTGCTGAATTTTGGCACGGCCCCAGTAGAGGATGAGGAGGGGGATGCCGGCACGCGAGGGGGGTTCGCTGGCATCCGTGTCCCCTCCATTGCCATCGCCGTCCCCAGCGCCGCCGTGGAGCTGGTCCCCGAGCTCAGCAGGGCCAAACCAGAGCTGGCCATCGCTGGTGGGCAACCACAGTTGAAGCGGCCGGCGCGGCAGCCGGAGTCGCCGCCAGCAGCACCAGCTCGGTTGACCTTCCCGGCAACAGTGGTGCCATCCATTGATATCGCCGTGCCACATGTTGGTGTGGGTTTGGCATTGCCAGCAGGCGCCAGCGCCGCAGTGGTGCCGGACGAGGGGGATGCCACAGTGATGCCGGACGTGGCAGCCAGGTTTGCTAAAGGGCTCCGAAAGCTCAGCCTGGAGCTGGAGCCCACGGCACCACTGCCGGCAGTGGAAATCGCCACGCCGGCACGGCTCACCGGGGACGTGCCAGCAACCGGCACCAAACCCAAACCCCCCAAATTCACCCTGCCGCGGTTCGGGTTGTCCCTTGCCAAGCTCAAAACGGGCGGTGATGGCAACAGGTACCCCCCAGTGTCCCGCAGCACAGCTGTGCCAGCGCTGCCCGGCATCGCCGTCACCAGTCCCACGGTGGCTTTAGACCTGACTTTGGGGACAGTTGGTGCCGCTGGTGCCGGAGTCAAGCTGAAGGTCCCCAAATTATCCCTGGCACCTTTTGGTGTCAAGGATGGGGACAAAGATGCTGGCGGTGAGGAGGGTCCCCAGGATGCCGGCGCAGTTATGAAGCTGCCGCGGTTGGAAATCGGGGTGTCAGGGGGGCATGACGGGAGGTCAGCAGAACCGGGGTCCCCCAGGACCCCCCGTCTTCGGGTACCACGGGTGGGCATTGCCCTGCCGGCGACGGGCAGCCGGCGCGTGCCATCACTGCCTAAACTCCCCACCGCGCCAGAGCTGGGTGGGGGTGTGAAGTTGCCAAAATTTGGGGGATCCAGCCCCGATATCCGCGTCGGGGGGGACCTCAGAATGATGAGACGTGGGGGAAGCGCCGAGAGCTTGAGCATTGGCACGGCAGGAAGGAAGATGCCAGAGTCTCCCGGCACGATCTGGTTGAAGCTGAAAACCAGGGGGCCAATGGGTGATGGGGGGGCACAAGCATTGACCCCCCGGTTCGCTGTCCCCGCCACGGGTTTCACCATGCCAGTGAAACAACTGGAGGATCCATTAAGCCGAAAGATACCGAAACCCACCGGCATGCCAGCATTGAAGGTTCCAGTGTTGGAGTTGGCACCGCCGGGGGTGGATGGGATGGAGGAGACCACCAGGAAGGATACAGCACCAGGACATCGGGCTAGGGTCAAATTGCCAAAATGCAGCACAGGTTTTGCTGGGAGTGGGTTGGAAGGCGAGGGGAGGATGAGGATGGGCGGTGTGAAGAAGGCGGTGTTGGTGTTGGTGAAGCCGAAGGAGAAAGGAGAAGACAACCAGGTGGTGGACCCCCAACCTCATGTCAACGGGGAAGCGGAGGGCAAGGCCCGGCGACGGCGGTGGGTGCCCAGGGTGGGTTTTTCCCCTGGGGGGTCCCCACCGGAGCCCCCCCTCACCCAACTCAAGGGGGGGAAGATACGGTTACCCAACATTGAGCTCTCCCCCGGAGACCCCGAATTCAACCAGCAGCCAGTGATGACAGAAGTCACCCCACGCTTCAATTTGGGGGGACTCAGGGGCTCGGGGACCCCTAAATTTCAGCTGCCTAAGCTGGCGCTGAGCCCCCAACCCTGCAGTGAGCCGTGAATCCCCCCCTGAGCATGGGGGTCCTCAGGGACCCCCTGAAACAGTGATGGGGTGGTGGAGCATCACTTGCTCCCCCAGACCCTCTTTAACCACCTTACCCCCCAAAAAGATTTCTAATCCAGCCATTTTTGGGGGGTGTTTGAAGCTTTTTCACCCATTTTCCAGGTGTTAATATTAACTGGGGAGGGGGCATCACCCCCCCTGGCCCCTTGCTCTTGGCTTGGCCGGAATAAATGTTAACCCCCCCAAAAAAAAAGCCCTGAGCATGTCTATGGGGTCTGGGGATGGATTTTGGGGGACCAGGGATGGGTTTTGGGGGGCAGATATGGGTTTGGGGGACCAGGGATGGGGTTTGGGGGGTTGGGGATAGGTTTTAGGGGGCTGGGATGGGTTTTGGGGGATCAGGGATGGGTTTTCTGGGGCTGGAAATGGGTTTTGGTGGGCTGGAAATGAGTTTTAGGGGACCAGGGATGGATTTCAGGGGCCTGGGGATGGGTTTTGGGGGTTTGGGATTGGTTATGTTGGGCTGGGGATGGGTTT